TGAGTACATGATAAAGATGGGACCATACTAATAATGATCTCTTGATAACATCTTTGAGGAATTTTGTGATACAGACAAGTTCCATTCCTTGTCTTGTATGTAATGATCATGAATGGATGGTGGCAGCATTTCGTCTTCTACTATCTACTATCTACTCTTCTACTTCTACCTATCTACACCTCTCCCTCCACCCCTCTCTGAACTCTCACTTTCAACTAATGACCCTCCTCGCTCCTCCCACCTCCCTACCTCTCACCCCAAACCCTCACTAATTACTTCACTATTCATTTCTTTCCTTTCGTTTTCTCTTATACGTTTGTGGCAATGATTCTGTATTCTAGAGTTCTCTCTAGAGTTTCGGGTAGCTGATCCAGTTACGGCGCCTTGTAGTCTTAGCACCTAGGTAGTCAAATACCTAGGTTACAAGGTGTTGAACGAGAGAGGCTGCCTTAGGATCTCTGGGGGTGCTCTAGATTAGTTAGCTAACTGGGGACGGGATAACGGACTAGAGAGAGCTGTTTCCCCCGGCCTCGTTAGTTAACTGGGGGGTGGAATAATGGACAAGATAGAGCTATTTCCCCCCACCCCCCGTTACACACTGTCTCGGAGGAAAAGGCAAAGTCCAGGAAAAAGGCTTCAAAGAAGAGAGTCAGATAGGAAGACCCAGAATCCTCAGTGGGAAGGACAGGCTCAATTACCTCCGTGCCCGCATTAGAAGAGGCAGCCTCTGGAGCCACCCGTGCCTCATCCCAAGCTAAACGACGCCCCAACACTGAAACCCCTGGACGTATGCGAGCCTACAGCTGCGGAGAAAAGGGGGGGGAGGAAGCAACCACGCACACCTGGAAAGAAACAGGGGACGCAGACTGAACCAATGTTGAAATGACCACTGCCTCTAAAACTCAAGCTTCGGTGCTTCCAAAAGGGCACCCAACCTGGCATGTTGCAACACAGAGAAATGCCTATGCAATGCTTCCACCACTTAATCCCATATAATATCAGAAGAGGGATGAGTAGACTGGAGAACAAGCGGGAAACAAGTCCCGCAAGACTCTGGGTTGTAGGTGTCCCCAACTCAATAGGTAGGGGCGACGAGCAGCCTTTGAATTCGCACAAGGCAAGAGCAGACTCGGAAGAGGTATCCTTAGTACAACCAAGCCTGCTAGGGTTTGCCAGGGTCTTTAGGATGAATGAGCCCTACAGGAAGCCCAGGCACTGGGCCCAGCTAAGCCGTGTAAACCCTGTCGGTGCTAGCAATTCAACTGCAAGCAGCCGCAGAAAATCCTCGGGGGCAACAGAGGAAGACAACTACCACACTCCACCTAGGCATAGCCTAATGACATGAAAAGCAGACATCCTCTGCCAAAACAAGGGAAATAACATGCCACAAAATGGAAAGACACAATAAAAAAACACCACAGCAAACAAGCAGTCGGAGAGAAACATTGGCTCGCCATGTGATAGCTGAAAAGCGGGCTACACCAGCCAACAAACACTCCCCTTACCCAAAGCAAGACGGAAAGCCCAAAGCCCCCAACACACCCCAAGGGCAAAGACCACTACAAGCGAGGAAGTCCTCTAGCGGGGAGTGAATCCCGAATGCAGCTCCAGTACACGAATACTCCTACTACACACATACCTCTGTTTGTAACATCGCCGCATGGGTGAAAACACCAAAGAAATCAGGAACACAGAGCCAGAGCAACATTGATCACTCGGTGCAACTCTTCAGTCAAGAACTGGCTGGTGGTGGCCCAGCTCACCCCAGGCCTGCTTTCCCTCCAGCATCTTTCCCTCTTTAACTCCCCCTTGGAGCTAACAAGCAGGGGGTTAGTTGGACAATGTTTTGCATGTTTGTTTTCTTTTGGGAGAGTTCTTTTGATAATCTGAGAGCTAAAGATTGCATTTTCAATCAGGCAGAAGTCTGTTTTTATTTGCCTACCTTTCTGGGTGCCTTCCCTGGTTGATGGCAAGATTACATACTTTAAATGTAAAGTGTTCATGAGCCATTATTCCTGCACCTCTCTGAGGGGCCAGGTTCTGGGTCGTAGTCTCCGGTAGGCAATACAAGAACTCTGCGACTGATGCCAATGGAGCTCCCCACAGAAAAAAAAAGCACAAATATTGTTTAAGCTCACTTATCCGAATTATATTGGAAGGATCTTCCGCTGGATAAGGCAGACATGTGGATAAGCAGAATTCTTACTGGTGAAGTCAAAAGTTTACATTTTCACAATTTTTTGTACCACATCCAACATAACTTGAATTGCCACACTCTTACGGCCTCACTTAGCCAGTAACCCGGTTCTTTTCATATCAAACTTTATATAGGGCCTTAGTTCTTACTCGATCCTACCCTCGAGTCATAGGCAAGTTATTAAGAACTGGCAGTAATAGTCAATCTAAAGGAAAAGGGGTAAACGACACTAAACAGAACCATCAACAAGCGTACTTTGCAACTATATACACATATGTACGGTACATAACACAGCTTGTGTCACATTCACACTGGACACTAAAAAACTTCTGCAATCTTCTTTCCCGGCAAATCCACTTTTATCTTCTATCGTACATCACTCAAGGTTCCTCCCTGAGTCTGTCTTCTATGGTCGTCATGCCAGCGAGTTCGCCTTTCTCAGTAAATCGTGGGCCAGTCTTATACTGCATCGTCACAGTGCCAAAACACCACTTCTACTCTCCAGCAACACACTGGCAGGGATCTACAGCAACACACTGGCAGGGGTCTCCAGCAACACACTGCCAGGGGTCTCCAGCAACACACTGCCAGGGGTCTCCAGCAACACACTGCCAGGGGTCTCCAGCAACACACTGCCAGGGGTCTCCAGCAACACACTGCCAGGGATCTCCAGCAACACACTGCCAGGGATCTCCAGCAACACACTGCCAGGGGTCTCCAGCAACACACTGGCAGGGATCTCCAGCAACACACTGCCAGGGGTCTCCAGCAACACACTGCCAGGGGTCTCCAGCAACACACTGCCAGGGATCTCCAGCAACACACTGCCAGGGATCTCCAGCAACACACTGCCAGGGGTCTCCAGCAACACACTGCCAGGGGTCTCCAGCAACACACTGCCAGGGATCTCCAGCAACACACTGCCAGGGGTCTCCAGCAACACACTGCCAGGGATCTCCAGCAACACACTGCCAGGGGTCTCCAGCAACACACTGCCAGGGATCTCCAGCAACACACTGCCAGGGGTCTCCAGCAACACACTGCCAGGGATCTCCAGCAACACACTGCCAGGGATCTCCAGCAACACACTGCCAAGGGTCTCCAGCAACACACTGCCAGGGATCTCCAGCAACACACTGCCAGGGGTCTCCAGCAACACACTACCAGGGATCTCCAGCAACACACTGCCAGGGGTCTCCAGCAACACACTGCCAGGGATCTCCAGCAACACACTGCCAGGGATCTCCAGCAACACACTGCCAGGGGTCTCCAGCAACACACTGCCAGGGATCTCCAGCAACACACTGCCAGGGGTCTCCAGCAACACACTGTCAGGGATCTCCAGCAACACACTGCCAGGGATCTCCAGCAACACACTGCCAGGGATCTCCAGCAACACACTGGCAGGGATCTCCAGCAACACACTGCCAGGGGTCTCCAGCAATACACTGCCAGGGGTCTCCAGCAACACACTGCCAGGGATCTCCAGCAACACACTGCCAGGGGTCTCCAGCAACACACTGCCAGGGATCTCCAGCAACACACTGCCAGGGGTCTCCAGCAACACACTGCCAGGGGTCTCCAGCAACACACTGCCAGGGGTCTCCAGCAACACACTGCCAGGGGTCTCCAGCAACACACTGCCAGGGGTCTCCAGCAACACACTGCCAGGGGTCTCCAGCAACACATTGGCAGGCTTCCACACAAGCATCAATTATAACAAGTCTTAACAGATGGACATTAATTCCATCTCGTAGCTCAACTTGGCAAACTTGGAACAACCGTGGACATCTTCAAGAGGAAACTAGATTGTTTCCTTCAAGGAGTGCCAAACCAACTGGGCTGTGGTGGGTATGTGGGCCTGTGGGCCGCTCCAAGCAACAGCCTGGTGGACCAAACTCTCAAGTCAAGTCTGGCCTCGGGCCGGGCTTGGGGAGTAGATGAACTCCCAGAACCCCATCAACCAGGTATCAACCAGGTATCGTGGGATACATCGGTCCAATCACCAATACTTCAATAAGTATCACAGACATATCACAGTCTACACCGACTCGGCCACTTGTTCCCACTAGAACACATCTTGAGTTCAATTCTGTCCTGGGTGAACTGATTCCCAAAGACTAAGGTACCACCCACATCACTTCTCAGGAGTAAAAGATGAATAGTAAGAAAAAACTATACAGGGGTCAATACGATCAGACTTCCACCGGGGAATAGAAAATGGGGTCAGGTGTGCTCAACAAATGATGTTGAGTGCTGAAAAACTTAAAACTGCCGGATAACCCAAAGATTCGGAAAAGCAGGCTTCGGATAAGCTAGCTTATACAGTACAATTAAATTCTTCACAGAAAATTCAAGCGTGGTGGTCACTAGGCGGGATACACTGGTAAATTGAACATACCTAACGCCACGCCCAGAACAACCCATGCACATGACCCGTACAAGTATCAACAAGCAAGTTGTACTCATGAGCAAACGTTATACACCAGGTCATATTTTACAACAAAATTGTCGTTGTACACCGAAAAATTTGTACTCTGGGGTATTAGTAGACTGAGGTTCCACTGTTCTGTATTATAACTTGTACCTACATTTCTAAGCTTAGTTAGCATCAGTGACCTTGAAATTAATCTCAACCTTGAAAAATATAAATATATAATTACCAGCAAAATTAAAACAATCAATCAAAATTCACTGGAAGTGTACCAGTAAGTGGAACACTGTACTACACTCTAACACCTAAAATAATTAACTCTTTTAATTTCAACTATGAAATAATGAAGTAATGAGCTTTAGTGCTCACCTTTGGTTGTGAAGAGCCAAGTGGATATTTAAGGAAGCCTGACCACCAGCAGGTGAAGGTATTCCTTCTTTTCCAAGATAGTCCACAAATGCCCTACCGCCACACACACGCAAGTATAAATATCGACGTCCTTGAACAACTTGCTCTGTAAATGAACCAAACTATATGAGTACAGTATTTTGAGAGTAGAACTAATAATAAACAGAAAATCAACAAATTTACTGGTTGCTAAGACTTGCAGTTTATCCTTCAAGAATAAAAGTAGTGCTGCAGAGAAATCCTAAACACTATAATTGGTCAAACAAGAAATGTATTTTAATTATTTATGATAATGATTACTAAATATATGTGATTTTAATGAGCATGAGTTCTATACGAAAGTTGAATATTAACCTCAGGATGCTTAATACAGTGGTACCTCGCATAACGATTGCCCCAAAAGACGAATATTTTGGGTAACGAACGGCCCGATCGGCATAAAATCGTCCCGTATGACGAACGCGGGTTTGAGTAACGTCAACACCACATGGTGGGGTCGCACTGCTTCTTGCACATTCTCGGATGCCTCCGACGATGCACATAAATTATGTTGTTCTTGTTTAAAGATGCTAATGATGCTGGGATATAAAAGGGTGACTGCTGAGATGTTGCAAAGCATTGACGTTTTTGTAGGAAAAAAGAAATGAAATGTCTGATATACAACAAATGTCAAAAAGGTTCGTTCGGTGTTCGGCAGGAAGGCTGCTCTATTATAACAATCTTTATTTGTTTCAAATGTGTTCCATTTGTTTTGTATTTGTCATTTACGTCTCAATAATGGAGAAGCCTACCTTACATACACTGAATAAACCATTATGACATTTTCCTTTCTTCAAATGTGTTCAATATTTATTTTTCATTTGTCTTATAGCAAAAGGTTCGTTCGGTGGTCGGCAGGTAGGCTGCTCCATGTTTCTTACATACAAAAAACGTAAATAATAAAAAAAATGAAGAATTTTGAAAACCAGTACAAATGTCAAAAAGATTCGTTCAGTGGTCTACAGGTCGGCTGCTCCATGTTTCTTAAAAAAAAAAAAAATAAAAAAAAAATAAAAGAACTGTTGAAACAATTTGGAAAGTGGACAAATGTCATAAAGGTTCGTTCAGTGTTTGTCGGGTAGGCTGCTCCATTATTGAGACGTAAGTGACAAATACAAAACAAATGGAACACATTTGAAACAAAGAAAGATTGTCATAATGGAGCAGCCTACCCAACAAACACTGAACGAACCTTTTGCTATAACGAATATGAAAGACAAGGGCTGCTGGCTGGGTTAGTAGTGCGTGAGCAACCATTTGTGGCACACGTGCCTCTGGCTCTCAAACACCTGTCCCACACGGTGTTGAAAGACTGTGCTCAGTCGGTGCAATTCAGACCCTATTGTTTGAAGAACATAAGGGTCATAAAATTGGTGAAGCTAGGCGCAATAAGGGCTTAACACAACGGTCGGATGCCAGTGATACAGCACCTATGAGGATGATACAGCGAGCGTATCCAGGTGTAGCTCTGAGCCCCACCCTTGCCATCTCTAATGTATATAGATGATACATAGATGAATCGTTTTCTGCGTTCAGTGATGATGCATCTGATACAAGTAGCATAGATGAACAGTGTTAGCGGCTTCCATGGTGGTGGTGTTCATTGATATTTTCAAGAATACCTGAATCTCTTCCTGGCTGATGGACACTCTTTGAGGCTAGCTGAATCTCTTCCTGTGTGGGACCTTACAAAGCGATCTTTTCAAGACTACCTTACAAATTGAGCTTTTCCTATAATCGTTTCAATACTACTTTATGCTTTACAAGCTTGGCTACATACTGTTGGATATTTCCAACACCGAATACAACACTGTTGTATTCTCATTACTTATTACTAACTCTACTAATTATTGTAGTAAGTAAAATTAACAACACGTAGAATTCTCATGTACTAATAATTTCATCTGTGCAGTAGGCTAGAATTCTCACGTCACCCGACGCCAGTATTGCGTCAGATTTCATTACAATAAACACATTATATCCAATGTATCTGAGAATTAAATTCGATTCTCTATAACTAAGGCATTCTGTATGATAACTAATTACCGATGATTTGACCTCCAACTAAAAGCCGAATAGAGCGTTGGAGTCATAGCGATTGTCTAGTAATAAAAGTTAACGTCACCAGTGAATGCCATGGGGAGACATTAATTCTTCTCCCTTATATATTTACTATTCTTAAATTGGCAAATAATAATATTTTCCTCTTCTAAATAATAAACCCGTCCAGTCTTCAACATTTCAAGCGTAAATGCGAGAAATATTAATGTTCGTGACAATAATTTGTTTTATGAACGCGGGACACGGCGTGGGTTGAGGAAGCTTACAGTACACGTGGAGAGCCGCTCGGAAGCAGACCTGCTCATACCGTACTCATAAGGAGACGCCATTGCCCAGCCATTAGGGTAGACGTTATCCATCCTCAGATGAAAGTCGCCACTGTGAGGCGTGAATAACCTTGCAGATAATATCTTCAGCTGGTGCTGGTGTCAGATAAGGAACCTCTCTAACCTGGTTCTTGACTACACGTGACCGGCCAGTGAAGCGTGCCACGATCCAGGATAGGCTTAGCCGGAGCCTGGGGACGCGAATTTCGGCAATCTTAAAACTTATACAGTGCCCTTTCAGCTAAGTATATTCCCTTTATGTGATGCATCTTGTAAAGTGTTTTGTAGTAGCTGGGTGATTGACCGTTACGACGCACGATAACATCTAATAACAGGTTATTAAATTTGTCACCTGTAACTCTCAATTTCTTGAATATAGAGATTCAGTAGTTAAATTAGTTGCTACTGTAAATATTTGTCTTGCAGCACGTGAGAAGAATTCTCCCTGCCGCCTTCTCCCATGTTAATCCGTCCCATTCGTCAGCCAACCGAGTCCAGAGAATTAGAGGAAACGTCGTGGCTTACCTAAAGGAATCATCTTTAAGCTAAGATTCTTTATATTCATTCATGAATTTATTACAACTATTTATATGCAGAATTCCTCAGGATTAACATGTGTTTATTGTGACTCTCATTACTATACTTATAATCTATGTTCCCATTCATGGTAATGACACTAGTTTCACTATAATTCATAGGATTAGATTATTATTATTTGGATTAGTGAACGAACCACACTAGTTCCTGGACGTACTTACCTCCAGTAATAACCCCCCAATGTAGGTGTTTGAGGGTTTGATTCATTTAATTATACAGCCCATTAATTATTTCTATGATCATATTCTCTAGTATTTTATCCATAGTTACTGGTTCATCTAGGAATTATCTAATGATCTGAAATTCTCAGTTTCCCTCTTTACTATAAAAGCGGGTGGTCCTTCGTAATTTAATTTACTACATTAATATTTAAATAATTAGATTCAAGCCCCAAATATCCCACACATACCACCTACAAGTACTAAAGCCAAGAGTGCACGCGAGTGCGTTATTTGCAAGCACACAATGATGAAACAGGAAACGAAAATCTATCTGTAGCTAGTGCAAGGAGAGCAAAGTCGCGCTGTGTACCATGGACTACTTCGTTAACTATTACGCACCTCCAAAGTACTGAGTGTGTAATACAGTGTGTTACTGTGTAAATAGTATGTGAAACTGTACATATTGTAATTTTAGTGAATTTTTACCACGTAATATTGTGACAATAAACATTTATTGTGGACACATTACTGACACATGTATCACAAAAAACCAGCGTTGAATGTAATGAAACGCCATTTTCTGGGTGAGTCCCGGAGGCTCCCCGGAGCTATCCAGGCTGAATGGATATGTATAACTTTCTGGCATCAGTCAAAGTGCTAGGAGTTCTTGCCTACCGGGGACCACGAGCCAGAACCTGGCCCCCTCAGAGAGGCATGAGGAGCAATGGCCTATAGAAACCCCCTTGTGATTGGGAGCATTCTATGTCTGCCATCGACCGGGACAGGCACCCAGAAAGGTAGGCGCCCCAAAACAAACCCCTATTCTGGTGAAATTATTGCTACCGAAAGCCGAACGAGTGGACAGAACTCCCCAAACAATATTATCAAACTAGCATGACGTCATCACGTCGCCGCGCCACCGTCTGCGCAACCCCCCCCTCTCCCCGGGAGGGGGAAGGGGGAGCCCCAGACCCTCCACGCCGGCGATCCAACTGGCAGTTCTTAGGCTGGATGTCAAAATACGCGAAAATGCCGCCGACCGGAGGGAGGGAGGGAGGGATGCCGGGGAGCCTCCGGGACTCACCCAGAAAATGGCGTTTCATTACATTCAACACTGGTTTTCTGGGGGGAGCCCCGTCGGCTCCCCGGAGCTACCTTACCAAAAGATAAGTAAAACAGGGAAGAAACCGGAAGGCGGATACCACACGTCCTAACTGAACAACCAAAACCAGAGACAAAACAAAGACCAAAACGAGAAGAAAAAGACCACCCAGGCCAACGGCCAGGACGGCCCCAAAACTCAAGAGCACAAAAGAGGGAAACAACACCTAGGACAGCAAGTGGAATGGAGCAGAAGGAACCGCAACACTGAACGTAAGCAGGAGCGGCTCTGCCAGCACCACCCAACATGAGGTGACAGGACAATCCCAGACAAAGGTCCCAGAACAACCCCAAAGGGAAGACAAACCAACCCTATCAAAGACCGAAGGACCCTTCGCAGCGATAGGAAAACTAAACACCGCCCCCGAGACGAAACGTGCAGGTGGGAGACCAATAATGAACCCACCTGTGCCGACACAAACGACGAGAAACGAACACCACGATCGAAAGCGCAAAACGCGAATCTAAAAACAGCGACCCCGCAACCCAAAGGAGCAACAGAACCAGCTCCAGCAGGGAAGAATGATACACGCATTCCCGAGGCATCCAAGAGGAGAACTACCGAGGACGAGAACCGCAGGAAAACAAACACACCCGGTCCGGAAAAGGAACAAAGAAAAACCGAAACCAGGACCAGAACCCAGCAAACCCGGTTCCAAGAAAAGGAACCAGGAAGGCAGGAGCAGCAGACCGAAAAGTCCACACCCCCCCCACAGACAGCGCAACCCGAAGCCTGCAGAAAACCACACAGAATTCGCAGG